AGTAAGATGGATACCAGCAGGACCCCACAGCAGACATAGGTTTGAGAAAAAGGGATCCTCCAATGCCACTTTCTAAATCAACCGTGTTCAAAAATGTAAACTAGCCTATAACACCCTCCTTCCTGCTTTTCTCTGGCCATAAAAGGTCAGACCAAACACTAACTTGGACATCAAGTTGAAAGAAGATGCTCATATTCTTACTCTGCAAAACCATTAGGAAGTAGAAATTTTCTTTTATCTCAAAAAGAGCACCTCTCTGCAAGTTTATTTCTTCTAAGAACAATACCGTAATTCCAGAGATGGCTAGGGATTTTGGAAGCTGTAGCCCAAAGAAGAAGCAGTTCCAAACTATGATACTAATTCAATGCATTTTCTCAGAGTGACAACCAATGGTGTCATAATGCAACACAATGAATAGGGGCCCCCTCTTTTCTGTCCTGCCAATGATGTCAACACACTGTGTGAGGATGTGAGAAAGGGCCTTCTCAGCTGTGGCACCCCAGCTGTGGACCACTCTCCCCTTGGAGACCCAAATGGCATCAACACTGGCTTTATATAGGAGCCCGGTAAAGACAGAGATGCTAATCAAAGCTTCTGAGGCCGCAGTGATTCATATGCATCTGAGGAAGCAGACTGAACTCTAGAAAAGCTCATGCTCCCAACTTCTTTATTTCAGTTAGTCTCAAAGTTGCTACAAGATCTCTCTACATACAGTACTCACTCCAAAATAATTACACATATGGTTTCAAACCTTTAACCTTTTTAACATGTTGTAATTTGGTTAACCTGTTTAATATGCTTTTTGCCTATTTAAATTATTGTTATTGTTTTAAATTATTTTAATTTGTCTATGTTGATTTTATTTGCATGCTGCCCTGACATCTCGTAATATAGAAGGGGATATAAACTTTAATATATAAATAAAGACAATCCCATTTTCTGATCTGGCAGACCTCTTCTTATGAGTATGGATACCGATGGAAGACATGAATGAAGTTTCTTGTCCCCGCAAAACAACTTGCCTAGCTTACAAGTTGCCTTGGCTAACAAAGACCAAAACCTCCAAGTTAGCATTTGTTTCATGTAGCAAATACTAGCTTTCCAGATTCACAATGAGCTCTGCAGTCAATAACAGCCCTGGGTTTCTCTTAAATGACTGGTTCCTACCCTTGCCTCAAGCTATAGCATCTCCCTCTGAAGATGACAGAATTAGTAATCAAGCTGGGGGCACCACCACCAAATTTGGAGGAAGACAAAAAATGAGATACATCTCAGGATTTCCTCTAAAACGAAGCTGAGGAACAATCGGTTCTGTTAGCCAAACTATGACAACTAGAGCTACTATGGGTGAATATTTAATAGGATTTTTAAAGTGACATGATTTCACTCTTTTTAATATCTAAAGGGCTGTCACAAGAGAGGAGAGGGCAGACTTGTTCGCTGCTGCCCCAGACAGTAGGATCAGATCTATTGGTTTTAAGTTACAGGAGGGTGGATTTTGACTGAATATTAAAAGGAATTTTTTGACAGTAAGAGCTATCTGGAAATGGCACCAATTCCTTAGAGAGGTTGTAGAGTCTTCTTCTTTGGCTGTCTTCAAAAAGAGGCTGAACAACTACGGGGTGTCTTCCAACTCTTATGATTTATGTAGTTTCATGGTGGTTGCATGACACAACCCTGTGCAACCAGCAGTGTATCTGCTACTTTACCTATTGTCCCATTGTGCAATGGTGAATATACAATGACTGGTTGTGCAACCCATCAATAAAGTAGTTCAATGAAGGCACTTATGCATAGTCATGCACCATCCAAAAATGTGCAGCTGCATGGCTGGAACCCTATTGCTTAATCCCAAACTATAAGGGAGAAAGTACAAGCTGTTTGGGTCTGAAAAACTTATCCTTTGACAGGTGTGCCTTATAATGCAGAATGTCCCTTGTTTAAGGGTTGGGAAGCCTTTCATTTTACACAGAGAGAAGAAGATTCCCAAAAATTCTGTATTCTGAAACACTTCATTAAAAAAGTGTGTATTATTACATGATTTCTAATTGGGGACAATATGTTAATTTATACATAGAAGTACAGTACAGGTATATATTATGCTATCTGTTGTTGTAGCTCAAAAAGTTTTGGATTTTGGAGTACTTTGGGTTTTGGAATTCCAGATAAAGGATACTCAACCTGTAATTTCAGTTGGTAGTTAGATAGAAGAGAGCCAGTGTGGTGTAGTGGTTTGAGCATTGGACTATGACTCTGGAGATCAGGGTTTGATTCCCTGCTTAGCCATGGAAACTCACTGTGTGATCTTCAGCAAGTCACACACTCTCAGCCCCAGATACCTGATAGGTTTGTCTTAGGGTCACCATAAACTGGAAATACCACTTACAGTAGGTAGAGCACAACCTTGTTAATAGCTAATTCCTTACTGACAATCCTGCATGTCATGAATTTTGACCATCCCTTATTGCTGTTTGGTAAACCTGGCAACACTATTGTTAATATACCTGAAAGAACATTCCTACTCCAACCTACACATACCCCATGGGACACCTCCCCAAAACCTGTATCACCAGTGGCAGAAAGAATGCAGACACCTTTCTCTGTTAGATAATCAGCATGAAAAAGAGCACACACCCTCAGTAGCTTTGATGGCATGTGGTGTCATCCATCACCCAGTCGGCAGCCTTCACCCATCTTAAATGGCCAGCAAGCTTTTGAAAAGCTGGCAGACAGCTTATTCCAAGAGGAGAAGCCAAGGGCATCCCTGTTACTGTTATTACCATTTAACCAGCCCCTTTATTAGAAATAATTATTGCAGTCGCACGCCCTGTCTATTCTAGAGAACTGGAACACTGACATCAGACTTATATTTTCATAACAGGCTGGCTAATTAAGCTATGATTTTGGAGAATGAATAGTTTGGGAGACAGAAGAGGGTGGTGCCTGCAGGGGACAAAGGAGAAATGCTTGCTAACCACCCTATTATTTTCTTCACTTGAGGAGCTGAAGGACAGCAGCTGCTGGTAAAGGGAAAGCTGTTTTGCAGAAGAATGACAGTTTGGAGAGAAAAGGGAAATCTAGAGTGGGCAGTGAATCAAAGAGATGCAGTCATCAGTGGCACAAATTTAACACACTACCATGGGTTTGTGCAATTTTTGATGCTGTCGTTTTTTTTAAAAACATGGATGGTTGAATAAAAACTATGTCCTACAACAGCAAAGGTTAACAAAATGCATCCCTCCAATGTAGCTGGATTGCCACTCTGCACAGACAATGAGGGATCATGGGTGTCACAGTCCTACAACATCTAGAAGGCCACCAACTGGCTCAACGGAAAAGTAAGGTGTCTGAGCCAGGATGACTAGATGTCATAACTGCAAAGGAGGACAAGTCACTGCAAAATGCAGGACATTAAGCTAAGAACATTCATATAAATTCATGCTTCTTAGTCATGCTCAAAATGGAGGACATTTTGAGCATGACTATGAAGGCTGAAACGTAGGACTGTCCTGGAAAAGGAGAACATCTGGTCACCCTGTGTCTGAGCAGGAGTTAAAAGAGTACGCATGCGTGTACCTTCAAGTCACCTGTCAATTTATGGCAACCCCATGAATTTCAGAGGGTTTTCTTAGGCAAGGAATACTCTACCTCAATGATACCTAACCTTTGGTCCTTCAATTGTTTTGGACTTCAGCTCCCAGAGGTCCTGGCCAACTTGGCCAACAGTCAGGAATTATGGGAGCTGAAGTCCAAATCATCTGGAGGACCCAAGTTTGGGAACCACTGCTCTGCTTAGTCAATCAAGCCCAGAAACACTCATGTAGGAAGAAGAGTCTACAGTCAAACCTCCACATTCATGGGAGATTGAA